TCAAAGAGGACGTTTAAAATACCGGATGAATATTTTTTTTTAAGTAGAACGCGTGCGTAATGATTTAACTTATGGTAAATGACTTTCTCCCTTTTCGCGGCGTTTTGTTATGTCATTAAAAATTGCATAATTTGCAATTTCTTCTCAGATCGTAACCGTTCATCTCGTTTCATAGTTTTCAAAAAAACAAGCCGCCATTTTTTTTTTTTTTTAATACGTCATTGATCACCTTATATATATATATATAAATTAATTTTCGTCGTCTGTTTGATTAATCGATTTGTTTGTTTGTTTTCTTTTTTCTCTGCGTTCGAAAAAAAAAACGAAATAAATAATTTTTCGATAGTAGCCTTCGAATAATAATTATGATGAACCTAAAATATCAGGCTTAATGAAGGTTTATATTCATTAGTAAAAAATTCCTTTTACTTTAAAAAAAAAAAAAGAGAGAGAGAGAGAGAGAGAAAAACAATTTTGAAAAGACTTTGTCAATTGATTGTCCCTAATCACCCAAATAAGTAGTTCTTGGTCAAAATATAAATACTTTTCGAGAGTGTGAGAGAGAGAGAGAGAGAAATGAGGAAAAGTGATGGGATGATGTGAGATGAAAGAAAGACACATACATACACATGCCGGTGTCAAAAAATTATTATTAACACATATAAACGCGATTGCACTTTTGGCTTGTTGAAGGCTCATCCTAAGGCCGTTAACATTCGTGGGGAAGGTGACCATTTTGATTTGTTGAATATGCAGTCAGACAAGGTCATTTTTTTAACTAGTCGACCTTCTCGAGGACTTACTATCAAGTTTCGAATTGTTTAATTTATAATTCATCGGCCTCTCAGTCAATTTTTTTTTTTTTTTTTTTTTTTAATAATCTGCACGTGACAAAAGATGTTGTTGGTCTTTCACGATTATCATCATCATCATCATCGTCATTATTATTAATCGTTTTTTTAATTTTCTCTTTCTCTCTCTCTCTCTATCTCTTTTCCTTCCTTCTTTTCTTCCTTCACCTCTATTTTCCACGCACAATCGATGTAAAATTGATTTTTTATTTATTTTGTTTATTATTAATAAGGTCGCGGGGGGAGGGGGTCAAATCAAAGGACGAAATTTTTTCATTTGCGAAAAATAAATTTTACAAAGGGTTAATTTTTTCCGTGACCTTCCTTGTCACGCACAGACACGCACAAATCGAAAAAAAAAAAAATATTTTTAAAATTCGATTCGTATTTTTAATCAATCGCGACGAAAATTTCATTTTTTTTTTTTTTTATGTCTCGTTACTTTTTATAAAAATTCTAACCGCCATTTTATTAATTAATGACACGATGACGAATGAATGACCTATGTCAACGTGACGCGTCGGGTAAAAAAAAATGACGGAAATGAAATTAATTAAACTGTTAATTTCTTTTTTTTTTTTTTTTTGGTAACGGTCGTTAACAAACGTTAATAAGATTTCTAATGTTAACAAAAAATAGGGGGAGGGGAAAATTACGTAATAATATTTTGTTACTTTTTGTTTAATTCTCCTCCCACGAAAAAAAAAAGACGGAAACATCGAAACATCGCGATCGTTTTAACATTGATAATAATAATAATAATATTACTCGATTAATTATTAAACGTCACATCGAATTTTTAAAAATGGCGCGTTTTGATAATTGCTTAAATTCTCTTCGGCTGAATTTCTTAATAATAATAATATTAATTTAAGGTACGTTCGGTAGATTTTTATTATTAACTTTAATAATAATAATAATAATAATAATAATAATAATAATAATAATAAAATGACTTGGAGGCTCGTGAAAATTTATTAATTAACGATCGTGACGACGACAACGACGACAACGTTTTTTAATTTATACAGTTGTATTTATATTATTATTATTATTATTATTATTATTATTATTATTATTATTATTATTATTATTATTATTATTATTATTATTATTATTATTATTATTATTATTATTATTATTATTATTATTATTATTATTATTATACTCACACGTTTGAGATTTCATCTTTTTTTTTTTTTTTTTTTATAAAAAAAATAATAATAAAAATTGATGATGATGATGATGATGATTTCATAATAAAACTTGAATCTTATGTAATTTTATTTTTAAATAAAATTCGAAGATGGTAACCCAACCACATTTTGTCGAATTTCGGTTAAGATTAACTTGTTTCAACCATTATTATTATTATTATTATTATTATTTTCACTCAATTCAACATTCGTTCCAGGTTTCTATTCTGATTCCTAAGGAATAAATGTTTGAATAGGTTTTCGTGTTTTGTAACCGAAACATAAATTTTTGTTGTAAGTCTTCCTCCTAGTCCATCTTATTTGATGGGAACGAGTTTGCATTTCCTGAATTGGTGACGTCTCTGGAGTAACCAGGATCGGGATAGGTCGGCAAAAGGATTATTTTTGAACCCGTCATTGTCTTCTTGATGTTCCCAAGTGACAATCACCCATCCAAATACTAATCGAACCTGATGTACCTTAACTACGGTGACTGAACAAAAGCCGGTGTATCCAACACGCCACGCCCTTTGTCTTATTATTATTATTATTATTATTTGTGTTAACCTCTTAATAAATATGATTCACGAATATTCGATTTGAAAGTAAGATTAATAATAATAATTATTTAAAGCGAATGGATATTGTATTGTTGATAGTCGCAGACGAGCAGGGTCGTAGTTAGGAATTCGATTGAAAAATTTAGCGAAGTATTTTTTACTTCGATCGGTAAATAGAGTTATTTGTTTTGTTTGTTTGTTTTTTTTGTCAGACCATCGATTTTGAGTATGCTCTAGAGACAATAATGGTTTGTTGTTTGTTTGATAAACTCTCGAAACGTTTTTTTCTCTCCTCTCCAAAACAAAAAAAAAAAATTTTAATGAATGTCGAACTCGACGATAGAAACATAATAATAATGACGTGAATAATTTTTACATTCAAATTAACGTGACCGAGTAGGGAAAAAAAAACCGAAGAATGCGATGTAATCGATGAAGTGGTAGCAGATTCGAGATGCGAATAAATAATAATAATAATAATAATTAGGGAATGATAATGATAAAAATGAGGGTTTCACATAATTTGTTTTTATTATTTTTCTCATTTTTCTCATTTCGTCTTCATAATTTTTTTCATTTTTAATCAACGCCCCTCTTTACTCTCTCACTCCCCGCCCCCCTCGTGGAGGGGGGCGGGGCTCCTCCACCACCTAAATTTTCTAAAATTTTATTTTAAAAAAAATTCGCCTCGATTTTTAGTTTTTTTAAATGATTAGAATTTTAATAAATCGTTTCTTCGGGGCATTTGTTCTTCTCATCCTCGGTTGTTGGTTGTTGTTTGTTGGTTGTTGTTTTTTTTTATAATATCGTAAAATTTAATGAAGTTTCATCAAGTTAAAAACGATTGAAATCGTTGAACAGAGAAAACGCTTTCACAGATCCATCATAAATTAATAAAAAAAAAAAAATCATCATTTGAATTGTATTGACCGACTTATTTGTAAAATTTATGGGTGGGGGAAAGGGGGGAAATTTTAAAATTCCGTTATTTTAAAAAAATTTTCCCGCCCTTTTTAAATTTGCAATTTTTTTTTTAAAAGGGTCATCTCTAGGATAATTTAGAAAGGACTTTTTTTTTTAGAATTAGTAAAAAAATATAATAAATGAGGTTAAAATTTTTGTGACAGGAAGTAGAAAAAATTAATAATTTCGTCGGCGGTGGTTTTCGTTATTATTATTAATTGTTTAAACCTAACTTTGTACTTTTACTCTATGTAATTATTTCCCGCGTAAACCTGAATTTTCGTTATTCTGAAAAATTCGTTAGTCTTACCTGTACTAATTTTACTTTGCTCCGATATGAGCATATTTATTGGAGTCCCTCCATCGTCCATTTTTCTTTGTTTTTTCGACGATGGTGCGGCAACACCGAAAAGTCTATTTTTGGCACTTTGACCAACTTTTAAATATTGTTTATGACCCATATTAGTATTATTATTATTTTTATCTCCTGGAGTATTATCACACGCGATAAGGGAAATAAAAATTCGCGAACTTTTCACTTGTTTTACACAAACGTGGCAGCAATATTTATTATTGTCTTCTTCTACTTCTTTTTCAACCCCTTTCTTTTTTTTTACCTTTTCTAAATCATACTAATAATAATAATAATAATAAAAACTTTGTCGTATTATTATCACTTATTATATATTTTCTTTTTCTTCTTTTCCTTATTCTCGTCGTTTGTTCGTCATGAACTTATTCGTAAATTTTTTTTACACATTTTCAAAATAACGTTTTTTTTTTCACTTCTTACTCCAAACGCGTTGCCAACACTGAAACAAAAAAATAAGAAATGTTAGTATGTTGTACTAGTAACGGTCGGTGAAAAAAATAAAATAAAAATAAAAAATAATTTCTGTCTAGTCACCACTTTTTATGCGGTATTTAAATTTTAAAACATTTAAAAAAAAAAAAATCGTTGATTATTATTATTATTATTATTATTATTATTATCGACAATTCGAAATAGTTTTTATTACTCCGGTAACGGGAAATCATGAATCCTATTACACTTTTTCCATATCTTCTTTTCCTTTCAAATTATTTTTATTTGTTTTTTTTTTTTTCCATTTGTGATAATTCTCGTTTCAATATTATCATTATCATTATTATTATTATTATCATCTTATATGCGTTTTCACGCGTGTTCGCACGATTGCACTCTCACAGCATCTCCGTTCAAGGTTTTCATTTCGTTTCCCTTAAACTAGAAAGCTGAAATCTTGGTGAAAACAATCGTAACGCGATCATTATCATTATCATCATCATCATCATCATCATTATTATTATTATTAATCGAGGAGAGGTTTATCGGAAAATTTTTAAAAGTGTTTTAACTTTCAATTTGATAATTATTATTATCTTATGGTAAATGAAGAACGTTATCTATTTCTTTTATATTTCGTGATGATGATGATTATGATGGCGGTGGTGGTGGTGGTGTTGATGATGATGATGATGATTATGATAATTGTGGTGGTGGTGGTGGTGTTGATGATGAGAATGATAATTGTGGTGGTGGTGTTGATGATGATAATGATAATTGTGGTGGTGGTGTTGATGATGAGAATGATAATTGTGGTGGTGGTGGTGTTGATGATGATGATGATGATAATTGTGGTGGTGGTGGTGGCGGCGGTAATTAAAACCCTTGATTATCGTTCGTTTAAATTTTTTTTGCAAATGTGAAAATACCAAACTCGTTTTAAATGCCTGACATTTAAAATAATTTTCGCGCGTAAACATTTAATTAATGATTTTTCCGATTCGTAAAAAGGAACATCCGGTAAAGGTTACCTCATTATGACCACATCTACTCACTCGTTAATTTTTTAAACGATTTGAAAACGTTCGAGCTTTTTTTAAAATTTACAAATCGTTTTTTTTTTTGTTTTGTTTCTCCTTAACTCACGTGATTTGAGTTTTTAAATATTTCTTACGCGTTTCCGGTGTTTTAAAACAAACTCATATAAAAGTAAATTAAAATCGTAGTAACCGGTTAATAATATAAAAAAACAATTCGTGGCAGCTGTCACAAACGTTTGATATGACGTTTGTGATCACCTTAACCTCCTCTTATTATAATAATTTAATTTAATAATAATTTATTTGATAAACGTGGCAGTAGTGTGTGACGTGGGATTTGTCGTTTGATTTTTTGTTTTTTTTTTCCGTTTGTCATACGATCGAGTAATTTTTTTATTATTATTATTTTTTCAACAAAACTTTAATTCGCGTACAAACAAACAAACAAACAAACAAACATATACTTTATTTATTTATTTATTATTTTAATTAATTTATTTTTGCTAAACATTAACCGACTTACTTTGAAAAATAAATAATTGTTTAACGGAAACGCGACCGGAAATTCCCCCTTTTTTTTTTAGGGATGATTTTATAAGTTTTTATTTGATTGTTACGCCCTTTTTCTGCTTTCGATTTAAATACTCGCGTAGTAAAAATAATAAAAAAATTTTAATTCATTTAAATTAATATTCATTCATTCATTCATTCATTTAGTCAGTCAGTCAGTCATTCATTCATTCATTCAGGCGCGAATTAAAAGATTTAAAATTTTTTCTTTCGAAGATAGATTAACATAAACGTTAGTTATTTATTAAATGGCGCGTTGACGATCGATTCGTTCGTTTTTCCGTCGTGTAATTAGAATATTTAAAATCATTAATAACAACCGGAAAACATTTTCAATACCATCGCGATATTATTCAATAATCATATTAATAAATAAACCGTCGTCGTCGTCGTCGTCGTCATCTTTAAATTTTTTTTTTTTTTTTAATTTAATAACAAAATTATTAAACAGGTAAATAAATAAATAAATAAATAATTCCCCTGAGGGTATATGTGCGCGCGGGTTCCATTTTTTTTTAAAATGAATTTTTAAATATCAAAAGTATTCCTTGATTTTTTTTTTTTTTTTAAATTTTCAAATCAAGCACGAGGCTCTTTATAAAAATCGGTTTTGCGGTTGACTTCGCCTATATAATTTATTATCAAAAAAAAAATTTTTTCACGTGTCGAATAATCATCATCATCATCATCATTATTATTATTATTATTATTATTATTATTAATATTTCTTTTATTAAGTTAAAAAACCGGTCAAAAATATATACATAAGTATATAAAATTAATAATTCTATTATAAAATTGTATAATAACATTGATATGATGTGAAGAAATTCATCGTCGGTTTATGATAATGATAATGATTTAATATGTAATGTAAATGTCAAAAATAATTATTTAACAACAAACAACAAACAACAACAACAAACTCTTATCGATTCAATTTCGTTTTTTTTTTTTTCTCGTAAACGTTATTATTATTAATATTAACTCGTACGCGGTAGCAAGTTTTCGTTAAAAAAATTTTATAAACAAAATGGCGGACGGATCACGTTTTTTTTTTTTCGGTTGTTTTAAAATTTCCTCTCGCGAATTGTTGAAATCGAAACAAACGACAAACACAACAAACAACAATCCTGTCAAAATATAATTATAACTCATCAAACAACTTTTTTTTTTTTCGTGAAAATTTTTTTTTTAAGGAAAAAAAAAAAAAACGTTTCAATGATAATAATAATTTTTTTTTTGAATGTGCCTTACACAACGTGACCTTTAACGTAACGAAAAAGGAAAAAAATTTTTCGTAGCAGAAGCTATTTAGAAAAAATTAAATATATTTTATTATGTATTCACGTTTTCCGTTTTTTTTTTTTTTATGTCGGCCATTTTGTTTTTTTTTCGGTTTAAGACGTAACATTGAAATCGATTTTTTTTTTTTTTTTTTTACGAAATCGCAACGTTAAAAATTATTTTTTTTTTTTTTTTTAAATAAAATTACGTTAAGTAAAAATTACTTTTTTTTTAACCAGGGAAATTTTACATTTCGAGGTTATATATACTTTCGATTGTAACGTATTTTTTTATTACTTCTTTATTATTATTATTAATAAATTATTGTAATCGATTAATTCTATTTTTTGAAATCTTGACCAATCAATAATAATAACGTCGCGTTAATAATAATAAAAATTACGGATTTATTATTATTATTATTTGCCCTCATTGAAAATTTAATTTTTATAATTGTTTTCTCGGAGAAAACAACAACAAACGACAAACAACAACAACAATAAAAATTACGATAAGATATTTAATGAATGGGTTAGACACGGCAACACGACAAAAAAATTGTCAGGGAAAAAAATTGTCAGGGAAAAAAATTGTCAGGGAAAAAAATTGTCAGGGAAAAAAATTGTCAGGGAAAAAAATTGTCAGGGAAAAAAATTGTCAGAGAAAAAAATTGTCAGGGAAAAAATTGTCGGGAAATTTTGTCGACAGCCGAAACGGGGAAATTTTTTTTTTTAACAGGGATTTTTTATTTTTGCGTAGAAACGAAAGCGAAATTTGATTTTAAGACAACGTAAGCTCTCGTAGGATTAATATAATTAACATAAATGTTTTTTTCAGGTATTCACGGTTCGAAAATTGACAAAAGAGATGGATTTTCAAGGACGATGGACCACTTTATCACACACAACGAGACCAAAAGAATTTATTAACATTGTAATTCGTTCGAAATGTAGGTCGAATACCTCGAATCATTGGTTTGTGGCAACTTGTTGAACTCAGAATACAACAACAAAACCGGTAAGTGGTTGCTACTTTGATTGCATAACATATCTTTCGTTCTTTTTTATAATATTGCGTGCTAATAAGTGGCCAACTCGTTATTATTTACTTTCCAATGAATTTTTTATTATTTGAAATTGGTGGATCCGGAGTCTGATTACACGTTAGTATACTTTACCATGAGTCCGTTTCAGATAAAACGCGCCCTTAAAAATGTTCTATTATTATTATTATTATGGTCGTGGAAGTAGAGGTTTAATATTTTTTTCTAAACGTGTTTACGTATGCGTTTGTATTTAAATCGTTACGAATGTATCGTTAAACGAATTATTTTTTTACGGGTGGTAGTAGTGGTAGTGGTAGCAGTAGAAAAGAAATATGGCGGGAGAAAGAAAGAAAAAAAAAGGGGAAAAAATTTAAATAAGAAATTTTAAAAGAAATTGCCTAAAACTGTCCGAATTGCCACATGTCACGGTAACCAGTTTACAATTATAGTAATAATAAATTACGAAGGATTTAATATTGCGTATTTTGAACGTTAATCATTTGTTAATCGCGAGTATAATGCTCACCCGAGGCCGACATCTTATTTATTTTAATTACACAAAAGAACGTTTCTTAACTTGTTAAAAGAGGGTGAGAGGGATGTACACAATAAGGGGAGAAGAATGTATAGTCTTTAACGAAAAGAGATGGGAAAAGGAGAAAAGGAAAAAGAGTGAGAGAGAGAGAGAGAAATCATGGTGGATCACGACCTTGA